TCCCAAATCACACAAATCCTGTAAAAAATGGGCATCTCTCTCAGCAACACCGCCCGCCGGCGAGCCCCGACTCACCCTTACCCGCCACTCGTCCACAACCACCACCACACGGTGATGAACTACTACGGCTCATATCCTGCGAGCCCTTCCCCTTATCCTGCGCACCCCGCTTCTTCTTCCCTCGCGTATTACCCCACGTACTACACTTCTAATGCTTACACTGTCTGCAATAACCCTAACCCGCTTGTCGGCCAGCCCTATTTCGGCGGTCCTTTTGAGCTGCAGCAGGCGCTGCCGCAGCCTCGAGATGCAGCGGCGGTGCTGCCGCCCTGCGGCGAGCAGAAGGCGGCGAAAGTTGTGAATAGCGACGTGAACGTGCATAAAGATACCTTGAGGCTAGAGGTTGATGAGCTGAACCCGGATCAATGCCTGGTTTCGTTTATTTTTGATGCTTTGGTAGACGGGAGGTACGGTTACTGATCGGATTTTATTTATTTGTGGATTTATTTTGTGCCCTTTTTTGCAAATCTCTCTGTGTTTTGTTAACTAGTCAATTGTGTAGTTTTGATCATATCATACGTGCTTTCTTCTCTGCAGTTTAGTTGTTAGTTGCAGGCTCAAGTGAATGTGGCTTGGGTAACTTCGGTTGACTATCCTCGTGTAAAATGGAATTTTATATGTATGTATGGTTGTTCGCCTGTACTGTAGATTGTACGACAAATTCTAACGCATCTGAGACAATTAGGCAACTTTCCCAGAGGAAATTTTCAATATGCAAACAACTTTGGGAAAAGCTATTCGTAGACTGTCTGTTTAGTTGAGCAACTTCCATTAGGCAGAGCTCTCCGGATAGGCCCTCGAATAACCTTTCGTGTTGGATGATTACATTGCTTATGAAAAGAATATTAGAAGAAAAAACCATAACGATTTTTTTCTCTTCTGATCATGACTTCATGAGGCTCTTTGCTGCCACCTATATGGTTCGAGTCAATATGGCTTTGTCATTAATCATTTATATTATTCCCTAGAACAGCACTACTTAGAGGTGAAGGCACTATTTAAATCTATGTCATAATTTAATGAAGTAAAGCCTTCTTATCAAACATGTCTTCTGTTCTGAGTGGAAAATGATGATAATTTAGTGTAGGGTATGCAGACAATGCACCTTACTGACTAGAACTGAGCAGGTCTCGAGTTTATAAGTGAAGATGTTATGTAAATCAGTATTTGGCTTTGTGCTCGTTCTAAAAAATGAATAGTATGATTCCGAGTACATTAGCAAGTATCAATGGGATTCACAGAGAAATTGGCACCTTAATCCCAAGTGTTAGGGGGTTTGTTATTAGGGTATTGATTTAATTTTGTATTGAGACAGGACACATACTTGAATTTGGTTATTGCTGTTTAGTTACTTGTCAATGCTTTCATGATATCTACTTAGGAAGTGACAATAGGGGCAATAGGTGGTTGGCTCGTGATTTTTGACATTGGTTGTGTTCTCTGTTATTAAGAATCATGAATCAGAAAGTATGAAGCTCGGAGGGATCAGTAATTATGTTCCCTCGTTAAATACTTTCATTTTAAAACTCCTACATTTCATCTTGTACTTAGTTACATATCCCTATGGTGTTTGATGGATTAGTGTTCATTTGCTTATTAAAATTTTTGAGTTTAACTAGGTTGGATAGTGAGTTACCCTGACGGTATTTCTTTATGACAAGGGTAGTTGATTTTGAGCTGGTATATTTGGAATAGCTTGAAGGCTTGTCCTATATGATTAGTTAGTCGTGGGTGGGAATATTTTAACCAGCTTGCTACTGTAGAATTCTGCATTAGCTCTTGTGGCACCGTGCACTTCAACTTGATACCTTGGGCCATGTAAACTTTGATCCATTATTCTTTAGTTTTTGCTGGCTTTGTTTTGCCTTATCCATGTGGTCGTTTCAACTTTTGACTTTTACGAGTGTCAATATGCTTTACCCTTTACCACATAGAAGTTATGCAGCAGTCAGTGGTGCATTTGAAGTACTTCTAGTTCTGGCTAGTTCATCAGTAGCTGTACAAATTTGACATGTAGCTGCAGCTTACTTAAAAGTTGAAATTGTACAGGGGCATAGCTGAAATTACTAAGGATTTGAAACTTGAGTTTACGCAACAATAAGAACCTAAAATATTTGGTGGAAAGTCAAATGTAAACCAACAACTACATTCACTTTTGATTGACACAGTTCACTCCAACTTCCATTAAATATTTTGCCCTGTTAAAGCATCTCATATATCTGAGGCATTATTTGAGGGTCTGTGTTCTCTCTCTCTCTTTTTTTTTTTGGTGGGGGAAGATTTCCAGATTTTGTTTCTGGACTTATTCATAAAAATGTTCATGTCACGAGCATGGACGGATCCACATTAGGACTGGCCTGGATTATTATATTTCTAGCCCTGTTTTATAAATCAACCTACTAACACACCAAAATAATTCATTCACTTATCTATTAAGTCCAAAGACTACGAACACCATCCTGATAAAATATTATATATTGGTGATCCACCCTTTCCACCATGCACTAACCCACAAAACACCACTATACACCAAACTCTAATCAAATAAATTAGCCACGGCCTGTCCTTCAGAACACTTCATAATATTGAATTTAGAAGAAAAAAAGATCTATTCAACAAGAAAGAGACTACTTTCAAGAAGACGATTTAATTTCTTTTTTAATAGTAAGTTATATTTTTAAACCCCATATTAGATATTTGTTTCATTTGTCTATTTGTCTTTATCTATCTTTTCATTTTAGTTAGCTATTTAGGGTTCTAATAGCAATTGCTATGATCATTTCGTGGCAATTCTTGTTTTGTTAATTGTGTATGAAGTAGTGATTATGTGCGTGTGTGTGTGTCTGTGTTTTTTTTAATCTCTTATCCTCAAGTGTAGTTGTTGTATATCATAGTTGGATAAAGACTTTTGATGTCTAGGCATTTCATTTTGCTAATAACTATGTCATACGAGAAATCCATTTATTTGTATTGTGGAATTTTTAGAAATTCACATGGAGCACCAACCTTCGGCCAAAAGGAAAAACCCCATTCATATCATTGTTCTTTAGAAAACGTGATCGACAACAAACTAGTGAAAGTACATCAAATACAGTGCAAAATGAGCATAATGAATTTTTGTGTAGAAGTTCGTCGAGCACAACTTCAGTGAATATTTGAAGAAAAAATGAGTTTTTAAAATTCTAGTCCACTCTACTCTTAATTTCTAGATCTGTCCCTAGTCACGAGAGAGATGCAACATTGATTTTTATATTATATTATATATAGAAGGAAATAGTTCTAGTTGTCGCATGAATTCTCCATACATTTGCTCAGTAAAATTTGCTGTCGCTTATATTGGAGAATCATGGTGATATAAGGTATCACCATGCTTCCACTTTCTTCCGAAGCTTAAATTTTTTAATTGCATTTCAATTCTTGTTTGTATATAAGAAATCACCAAGCCCATTTGCGTTGTCGACCATTTTTTTTTTTTTTTTATCTTCTTTCTTTGCACATTTGTTTCCCTCTTACAGACTTATCAACCATAAGTGAAAGACTGTCTTTTTTCTGTCATTACTCATTAAAGCCAGTCTCTTTACCTTTGTCCAATTTTTACATATTCCAACTAACCATATCCTTAAGTCTGGTCATATGGCCCTTATGTGATGTTTCTCACTATCCCGTTCGGATAATGAACCTTCTATAAACTGCCCATTTATGATTTGACTTAATTTGTTTCTTTAATATCTGATTATGGTAGTCACCATGTTATTCAAGGCCAAGTAATTTTATTTAATTTTAATGTGACGATTTAAAATTGGAGCTATCCCCTAGAGCTAGCTAACATGTTATTAACCATAGACCAATTTATATTATTTTTAGTTGATGTAAGAGCTCTTCTAATCAACATGTTTTATCTTATCTACAGCATCACGATCTGTTATTTTGCCAAGGAAGAACCCCAGCGCCAATATGTTTCATTATTTCCCGAAACTTATGTCCCCATAAAAGTTCCTTTCAGGAAGGGCCTTCGCCAGGAATTTAGACAGCCGTTAGGAACAGGCATCGACCTGCGTTTTTTCTCCTTGTATGATCTTTCGAATCCATCATCCAGAGACGATGTGTTTCCCATAGTAATAGCTGCCGACGCGTGCCATAGTCCATATATGTTTGACGACAGAAACTATGTTCTGGCACATACATCACTTCAGATGCAGATAACTCAGGTGGCTGTGGTGAAAAATAATGATGGACAATTTGCTGCTAAGGTAATCAGGCAGCTATTATGGAGTGATGATACCTGTTATGAACTGCGGGATATATATGGGCTGGGAAAGTCGGGCCAGGGCTGTAGTGACAGTGTGTCAGGGAAAGACTGCGTGATTTGCTTGACTGAGCCAAAGGATACAGCTTTGCTTCCTTGCAGACATATGGTAAGAGAACACTCATTTTTATTTATTTAATTATGATCAGATAGCAAGGATACTTTTGTGGTCTGTCAAACAGTAAAATGTAACGTAAATTGCAATGCATGTTTTTCTTCTCGTAGAACTCCATAATATTCTTGTTTTGGTATGATGCATGTTTCTAAGGCTTGTTCTATTACTGCAATGGATATATTATTTGAAAGTAAAAGAAAAGTAGTTTCGGATGCTCAGCTCTATATGGGCTTTGTATTTTTTACTTTTGCCTCACATAATATTCTTAGCTATCTGGTCTGTTTAGCTATTTAGCCATTTGCTCTAAATGAAAATATGAAGTAGTCAGCAGTTGCTGATGGGATACCATAATAATTTCCTTTCATCCTTAATACAAGGTTCCTTTTTATGTTGTTTCTTTCCCTATTATTATTATTATTATTATTATTATTATTATT